AAGTCTTTCTTTTGTTTTTGAAATGTCCATTGAACATATATGTACATATTTAATTCCCAGCCAAGAAATGTTATGGAAGACAAAGAAAATGTACTCCTTAAACTCAACTGTGAATGAAATGTTATGTTAGTTGCAAAATCTTTCTTCTGTATTTCTTCCTGTTAATGGAAGCCATGGCAGCAACAAGAGTTGAGGAGTTCTGTTCAGAGACCTCTACTTAGGTGAAGCAGGGATTCTTGATTAGTGTTGTAGAAAAGAATTTCAGGAAAAGTCAATACCAAGCAAAGTTGGAATTGATTAAGAAAAGATTTGAATAGAGCTGGCATGCAGCTTATTTGATAGATGTTTGCCTAGAATGTACATAGCCTTGGGTTCTGTCCCCAGCACCACACAAACTGGGCATGGTGGTGTGTATGTCTGTAAATCCAGCATTCCAGAGAAGGAAGCCAAGCCAGAGGATTATAAGTTCAAGATCAGCCTCAGGTACTTAGTGAATCTGAGGATACCATGGGATACATAAGATACTCTCTAAGAAATAAAATAAAAACATTTAAATATAGATTTAAGTACCAACATTAAGAGAAGGGGAAAAAGCTGGGCATAGTGGCTTATATGCATGACCCCAGCATTTGATAGACTAAGGAAGGAGTATCACAAGTTTGAGTTCGGTCTGGACCATATTAAGTAAGACCCTCTCTCAAAAAAACAAAACAAAGTGAGAAGAAAAGAGACATAAGTATTTAGGACAAAGACAGCTATAAACACAAAAGTATGGGTATGCGCTCCTCAAGAAAGAGCTATGGGGACTGGAGCGATAGCTCAGCAGTTAAGAGCACTGACTGTTCTTACAGAGGATCCAGGTTTGATTCCCAGCACCCACATGGTAGCTAACAGCCATCCATAACTCTAGCTTCAGGAGATCCAGCACGCTCTTCTGACCTCCGTGGGCACTGTACAACATGGGTGCACTTACATACATGCAGGCAATACACTCAAATACATAAAATAGAAATAATAAATAAAATAATTTTCTTAAAAAGAAAGCGAGTTACACTTAGTGGCTTTTATTTAGTTAGGGTCCCATTCTAGAGCTCAGGCTGGTCCTCAATTCCTGACAGTCTTCCTGCATCAAACTCCTGAGTGCTACTGTTAGTAGATGCATGAGCCGGCACATCCACTGAATTTTGGTGGCTTTTGAAGTTATGCTGCTCAATGGGTTTAAAAAATCAAGGAAAACTGTTTTGGTATATTTACTTAAAGGATTTCTCTTGCTTCTTTTTGTTTTTGTTTTTGCATGTGTATGTGTAATTCATATGTGTGTAAGCACAGCTGTGTGTAGGTGTGTACAATGCATGTGAGTTGACATCCGTATCTTCTTTGATTACTCTCTTCATTGAGTCATGGTCTCTTGCTGGACCTGAGTTCACCAGTTCTAGCTAGTCCAGCCAGCTTGCCCTGGAGATCTATTGTCTCTGCCTCCCTAGTGCTGGGATTCCAGGTGACTGCCACACTTGCCTGGCTTTTTATGTGGGTTCTATGGATCTGAACTATGGTCTTCACATTTGCACAGCAAGTACTTTATCCACTGAGCCCTGATTTGGTTTTATGGAGACTGTCTTAATACCTGTCTCATACTGAAGGCTCAGGCCTTTGTGGAATTTACTAGGTAGCCTACGCTGGCCTTGAACTTAAGATAATACTTCTGCCTTGGTCACCCAAGTTCTGGGATCACAGGTATAAACCATCATGCCCAGCTAGAACTTTTGTTTAGTTAAGGAGTTTATAATGTAGTTTCTGATAAGATTAAAAACGTAGATCAAAAAGGTCAAAGAAATCCTTACTATGCTTATGCCACAAGGGAGTTTCAGTTCATGTTGCTGTAATTTAGGGGTATTTATCAATTTATAAGAGAAAGGGTTTATTTTGGCCCAGGATTTCAGATTACAGTCCTCAGTAGCAGGGAAGTCACAGCTTCAGGAGTTTGAGAGAATAGGTCATATTACATCCATAGTCAAGAGCAGAGAGCAACGAATTCATGCAGCTTGCTTTCTCTTTCAACACAGAATTCCCTTCCTAGGGAATGTTACCACCCATAGTGGGTAATCCCCCACAGGCATGTCCACAAGCAATCTAAACTAGACAATTCCTCATTGTCAAGTGACTCCCTTCCCAGGTGATTATCTAGTTTGTGTCAGGTTAAAAATTAAAATTAACCATTGCAGATGTCAATACATGTTTTGACGTTAAATATGGTTCTAATTTTGCTACTGGACATAGGGTCACAGACTGTGCCCCAACAAGCCAGGTGCTACCACTGTCCTCAAATAAGTCAATTAGATGAGCCAAATCAGCAGAGAAAAGTAAAGAAAGGAAATTTATTCAATGCTCTGGCAACTCCTCAAGGCTATTTTTTTGGGTCCTAACATGAGGGTATGGTTTAAACAGAAGAGATACTTGCTGGTAAGCAGTCCAGAAAAAGTGTGGCCCCTCCACCCCAACCCCATTGTCTCAGCTCCACATTTCTCTTGCAAGGTCACCTGATTAAGTTGTAAATCTTTATCCCAGAGATAGGTTTCTCCTCTAGTTGCCCCCAGGGCCTCCAGAGATTCCTAGGGAAATTCTAATTTCTTGGGGTCCATTTTTTCAATAGTCTGGAACTTGCTATTCAGCTAAGTACAGTCTTGGACTCCTGAGCCTGCTGATACTCCAGCCTCTGCCTCCCACATACTAGTATTTCAGGTATAGGCCACCACACCCAGTTTGTGAAGTTTTCTTCTTAGTAAGCAGGGATGAAGGAGCAGCTCTTTTTCCTTCCCATCTCCCTT